AAGAGAAAAAAATATGAATTAAAAAGGGGAAATTGATTGAAACGTAGATTAATAATTAATACGTATATATACGTATGTAATTTTAAATTGGAGAATAGGGCAAATAATAATCCTGTTGAACGTGAAAAAAAAAAAAAAATACCTTCGCGTATCTGGTTGACCTCGTTACTTCCACTCTCAAATCCATTGCGAATGAAATCATATGCAGCACCGAGGTCGATTGTGCTCGATTGTGCACCCATGCACAGACACATACATACACACATCATACATATGTAGAGAGGAGACTATCACAATTATCACATCGTATCGTCACTGAACATAATCGTGTACTTTATACTATTTTACGATTCATGACACGTTGTTGGCGTTGTATCATTAAACCGTGTTCACGATTCATAGAACTCCAGGTGTCAATTTTTTAAACCGTGTTGTTTTTAACATTTGCACACCTTACTTACAATTTTTCTTTTTTTTCTTCCTAAGAATTAATCGATTTAAATTATTATTTTTTATTATTTTCTTTTTTTTGAAACTAAATTGTTGGGAAGATATAATAAAGATTTTTTATTTTTTTTTTTTGAAACCAAATTGTTGGGAAGATATGATAAAGATTTTTTATTTTTTTTTTTTTTTTTGACAAACGTGGAGTATTTATATATTTTAAATATGTAAGGGTATTTATATATGTAGGGGCATTTATATATTATATATATAATAATGCATATTACATATATATTATATTATATATTACATATATATTATTATTATTATTATATTTATATATTTTTGATAAATTTATTTTAATAAATATTATAAGTATTTTATTTATAAAAGTATTATAAAATAATAATATACACTATTTATTATACTATAATAAATTTAATATATATTAAATATACTAAATTTTATATATAATTATAATACTATAATAAATTTAATTTAATTATATTATAATAAATAGTATATTTACTATTTATAAATAATATATATATATATATATTTAATATATATATTAATAATAATAATAATAATATATATGTATTAATAATATAGAATTATATGGAATATTTTATATGTTTTGCGCGACTGCCAGGATTCGAACTCACGAACTGCGTGTAAGAGCCTGTTACCCTAGCACCGAGCCACGAAGCCGTATTATTATTAATATATATATATATATGTATTATATATTATTTAAATGTAAAATAAATTAATTTAATTATTTTATATTAAAATAAAAATAAAAAAGAAATTAAATTAAATTACATTTTTATTAAATTTTATTTAATAATAATAATAAAAAAAATTATCCAATCCAAATATTGTTTCTATCAATCAAAATTATATATATATATATAAAATTATTGTAAAAATTTCAACGTAAAAAAATTGCGTTATTTTGTAAACTACAAAACTTTGAAACTTACAAAATACAAACACAAATCAAAAGAAAACAAAGAAGAAGGAAACAAATAAGTAAACAAACGTAATTATTCTATAGAATATTGTTTTTGTCTTCTTTCTTCTTCTTCTTTTTCTTCTTATGAATTATAAAATAATCGATAAATAATTCTTCGAAGTTAGAATTGCAAGTTGTTAGTAATATAAGTTGTACACCTGGCTTGCTTCTAATGCTATAAAAAGTCAAATGCATAGAGTAGTCTCGTCATTGGTTGCGTGCAATTTTAATCGTTGCTTGTCTAGGATTGATAAATTGCAACAATATCTCCAGTGCACTATCCCAATGCACTATATATCTCAATGCATTCAAACAACAAATTCTTGAAACCAGTTAACTGTATTTTTCAATTGCACATCACTGTGTGTGTGTGTGTGTCTTAAAAATTGACGACAAGTGAAAGTTAAAATTGTTTTATTTTCAAATAAAAAATTAACGAAAAATAAATAAATTAATAATAAATAAACTAAAAATAAAAATAATCATTTTACAAAAAAAAAGAAAAAAAAAACTTGAAATTTGTGAATTAATTTTGTTTTTTCACAACAACAACAACAACAACAACAACAACAACAACAACAATTGTTACGTTTAACATATGACGAATATAATCGTCCTGACACACAATTCTGTCGACGTTTTCGTGACGAGTATACACGTCTAACTTACAATCAATTAACTGGTTAAATAAATGAAAAAGAAAACCAAGAGAGAGAGAGAGAGAGAGAAAAATCAATGATGTTTCCAGCTCGTTTTTTTTTCTTCTTTCGTTCGTTCGTTCGTTCATTCGTTCATTCATTCATTCGATTCGATAAAATAGATTGGATATAATGGTGTTTCAATATTGCATAATAATCTAAGCACATCAAGGTAATACTGTAGATTGAGAACGATAAGAAAAAAAACTACACACCTCTTTCATTATAAAGCGATAGAAGAAGAAGAAGAAAAAAAAGAAAAAAAAAGAGAAAAATAAAACGAAGCGTTTCTAACGGCACACGTCCGGTTTCACATTTGCTTTTAACAAACTCAAAGGGGCGTGGCAACAACAATTTCAATTTATTTTCTTAAATATTTTTTCTGTTTTTTTTTTTTTTATTTACAAATACTTTCCTTTTTTTTTTCTTATCATTTTTATCATATATATATTTTTTGTTTTTATTTTTGCAATAGAAAAATATTTTTTTTTATAATAATTAACGAAGAACAACTTGAATTTATTTCTTAAATATTTTTTTTTTTTTATCTATAAATATTATTTTTTTTTTATATATATATATTTTTTTTTTATTTAAACAAAGAACAACTTTTAATTTATTTCTAAAGCAATTTTTTTTGTCTTTTTCTATTTATTTTTGCAATAGAAAAATATTGATTTATTTAACTAAGAATATCTGTGAATAATATTTTGTGAAATCAACGAGTATTTTTTTCCTTTTTTTTTTTTTTTTAATTTTTTTTCTAAT